TACATGAATCCTACTAGTACTTAAATCCTTTAATTCATTCATTAATACTTATACTTGAATCCTACTAGTACTTAAATCCTTTCATTCATTCATTAATACTAAAACAAACTAAGAAAATAAATGAAATGAATGATCTCAGTATAAATATAAAAAAAAATTCATTATCATATTTTTACATATTATTAATTATTTTTTTTTTTTTTTCCCCAAGAAGATAAAAGAAGTTTACGTAAAAGTTACATTAAACTCGACCAACTCTATTCTACATTCGTTACGGCAGTACCTGTTTTCTTCTACTTGTTTTACTTTTTTTACCATGAAAGAAATAGAAGGGGAGAAGTGGAATCAAGGATTGGTTCCGTGATAGGAAGAAATAAAGAAGAACGATGAATCGTGCTAGGTTGCTTTGTCGGCATGAACAGCTGTCTTTAAACAACCGACCCCCATAAAATCCCATAAAATCGATCTTTAACCCATGAATACTTTTATTCACTTTTGCAGTTCGTTAACATCTATTCATGAAACTAAATTATCATGATCTCTTTTCTTTTCTTTTATTATTTTTATTATTATTATTATTATTATTATTATTATTATTATTATTATTATTATTATTATTATTATTATTATTATTATTATTTTATTCAATTTTTCTGTTCCCTCATTTATTAATACAAATTAACTTCCTATTTATTTTTATTTTTATTTTTATTTTTATTTTTATTCTTTTCTGTATTCTCACAACGAATCAAAATTAATTGATCGATCGAACAAACAACTATATCAAATTTGTCTCTAAAATAATTAATGCATGATGATACAATTAATGTATATGAGTGAGTTAAAGTGTGTGTGTGTGTGTGTGTGTGTGTTTGTGTGTGTATGTGTGAAAGGGAATAAAAAGAAAGAAAAAAAAAAAACTATTAAGGTGTATAAATAAAGTGAATGAAAGGATATCCTGGTTTCTCATATAAGTGAGAGTGAAAAAAAACAAATGATGGATTATAGTTTCTTCTTTATTGTCAGTATGAAATGAAATTTTATTATACTAACAGTAATAAAACCGTTTCATTTGAATTCATAGCTTTTTAATAAATACAAATGTTATAAAGTTTTGTAATAAAAAAAAAAAAAAAAAAAACCAAATCATTTTTAATCATTTCGACAATAAACTCGATGGATTTCAATTTGATATGATTTTTTTTTTGTCCAAAAATTATTTCAACAGATTGTAATAAAAATCTCATCTTACAGTTTTAATAATAACAATTAAATAATGAAGATAAAAATAAGATATAAAATTGTTCATTCGAAATACAAATGATATTATTAATACCTTCTTAGTCCCACGAGACGTCGTGAGAAAGATTACCTATGACCCTGAAGCTACAACGTAATACAAGTTATGATACTTAAAGATAGTTCTACGTTGTAGTGTCTTCTTCTTTATTCGTTTCCTTTTAAGGACAATGACCTTAAGAGAAGATTATACTAGAAATATAAAAAAATATATATAATCAAGTGTATAACTAGTCTACGAATATGTACTTTGAACTTCAATAGAAATATCTAATTAAAGATAATAAAATATGTTAAGTATATATAAGTATGGTAATTACATTGAAGTTATGCGATAGGATCAATAAAAATCGTTTAAGTATAATTAAATGGTGTGGTCAGGTATAATTTTGTATCGTGCAATAATTATCAATTCACATATATATATATAGATATCATCATATCATATCATGCACTCGCATAATCAAGTAACTATAAAAATCTTTCATATGTTTGTTAAATAACTGATATCACATGAACGGTTATATTTTATACTGTTGTATAATGACATTCTTGCATGCATGGTATTTATGAAGTATTTTCTTTGTATTAAGTTTGTAATGATTACATTTGTTTTATCTGTATTTAGGTATTGTATTAAGTATGAGAAATGTTGATTACTGTATTTAATTGGAGTAAGTTTGTAGTAGATTGTATGATTTAAATTAAATATTTATTTGTATTGAAATTTGCAATTTAGTTTTGTATTTAATATTAAACGTATTTTTATGTATCTTGTTTGTATTTCAATTTGTATTTAATATTTTAATGTGTTAAGCTTGTATTTAAGTTTGTATTAAATATTTGGATGTATTAAGTTTGTATTTAAGTTTGTATTAAATATGAAACGTATTTTTATCTATTAAAATTGTAATTAAATTTGTATTAAATATTATGATGTATTAGGTTTGTATTTATATTTGCATTAATTATAATTACATAAATATAATATTAATTATTAATATATAATTATAATTTATTTTTAATTATACAAATTAATTATACAAATGTATTTATATATATTATAATAATAATAATAATAATAGATATATATATATATATATAAATATTAATATATTCTTATTATAATTATTTGAAATTTTAGTTTGTTCAAATATAGAAAAAAAAAAAAAGAAAATAAAAATTACGTGTTTGAGATATTAAAATTGTTTTTTTTTTTTTTTTTTAGATAAATTTTGATATGGAAGATAATAGTATGCAATAATCTTCAAACTAATATTTGCTTTACTTATTTAATTAGGTTGGGGTTTATGATTTTATCTTTATCAGTAAATATTTTGACTGATTGGATTAATGTATTAAACGATTTAGTATATGAAATGTTTAGTTTTTTAACTAACAATTATAACGGAGTATTTGAATGTTTTATATTTAAAGCAAATTTAAATACAATATTTAATACAAATGAATATTTAAAACAAATCATGCAACCTATTACAAACCTTCTCCAATTAAATACATTCATTAAATGTATTTTAAGTTTCATACTTAATTCAAACTTAGA